CCGGACTCGAGAAATAGGAACACGTTGCTTAACTAGTCCTATGTAAGCAAAATAGCTACTAAAATAAGATTAATTATTTAAAACAAAACTATATTATTATTTTCTTAATATTTTTCAAGATTTAAAATAGCTACAAAATATTAATAAAACTATTTTTTTTTGTAATTTTCGTTTTTATATAAAGATAAAATATAAAGTAATATTTTTGCATTTTTTCCNATATAAAGTAATATTTTTGCATTTTTTTTCCAAATTAAAATGACTACAAAACCTTAATAGAATTATATTTTTTGTAATTTTCGAAATTATATAAAGTACAAAAATAAAGTGCAATTTTTTATTTTTTCCACGTTTATGAGAAATGCATAAACTAAAATTTATATATGTATTTTTTGTGATTTTTTCTTTTCGCAACGAAATAAAGTAAAAATAGTTAAAATGGCTATATTAGACCCAATTTCACATATTCACGCTAAAAATGTGAAAATTCTCGGGGAGGGTCAAAAATCACGTGCTTACAATGGGAACCGCAGTGACCTTCGTGTACCTCTTCGAGTGCACGCCTTGTCTGATTTGGTCCAAGGCATTTGGCTAAAGGGCCGCCGAACGTCCTTTTGTAGAGGTCGTGGTTTATGAGGTTGTATCTGGCCGCTTGTATTCAAGGCTTTTTGGCTTCTGTTTTATCTTGTGGGAGTGTTCCCTCCTGCAGATATGATATGATGCGATTACGCCAGTCCCAAGTTAAATTTATAGAATGTACCTCAACTTGGTCTATTGATGAGTGTAGGAGGGTGACCACGTTCTCCTTGGTAATGTTTTTAGTTGCTGCTGCTAGCTTGGCGAGACCGTCTACTTCAATGTCTTGTGCTCGGGGTATTTGGTCGAGTCGGCATTCGTCGAATTCTGGCAGCAGCTTGTGGATTTCGGTCTGGTATTTCTACAACCTCTGCTCCTTAACCTGGAAATTCCTAGTAACTTGGTTTACAACAAGTTGAGAGTCGCAGCGGAGGATAACTCGTCGAGCACCATACTTGAGGGCCAATTTCAGTCCTGCAATTACGGCCTCATTGTTAATCATTTCAAGGTATCGTTATAGATTGGCAAATTACTTCGCCCGTTGGGACTTCGAGTACGAGTCCCAGTCCCTATCCCGACGCGATGGACACGCCGTCGGTGTAGAGGACCCAGAGGTCGGGTCGTTTATATGAAGTGCGAAGCGTTTCTTGCTCGACTTCGGGCAGTATCTCTACACTGAAGTCGGCGACGAAATCGGCGAGCACTTGTGACTTTACTGCGGTTCGCGGTTGATATGTTATATCGTGCTTGCTTAATTCTATGGCCCATTTGGCCAACCTGCACGATAATTCGGGTTTGTGCAGGATACTTCTGAGAGGAAAGGTTGTCACCACCTTTATGGGGTGGCACTAAAAATATGATCTAAGCTTTCGTGAAGCTATGACTAATGCTAGAGCCAGTTTTTCAAGGTGGGGGTACCTTGTTTCGGCGTCAATTAAGGTTTTGCTAATATAGTAAATTGGAGATTGCGTACCTTTGTTTTCTCGGACTAGAACTACACTTACCGCGACTTTGGATACAGCTAGGTAGACTAGGAGGCACTCGCCTTGATCTGCCTTGGCGAGTAAGGGTGGTGAAAACAAGTATGCTTTCAGTTTCCTTAGGGTGTCGACACATTCTGAATTCCACTGAAGTCCATTGTCTTTCCTTAATACATTAAAGAATTTATGGCATCTATCCGATGACCGTGAGATGAACCTCGACAAGGCGGCTATCTGTTTTGTCAATTTTTGTACCTGCTTTTTGCTGGTCAATGTTTCGGGTATTCCTTCGATGGCCTTAATCTGTTCTGGGTTGACCTCGATGCCTCTTTGTGATACTAAGAAACCGAGGAACTTACCCGAGCTTACGCCAAAGGCGCATTTTTTGAGGTTCAGTTTCATGTCGTACCATCTTAATATGTCGAATACTTCCTTCAGATGATCGATATGATCTTCTTTCCTTTTCGACTTAACAAACATATCGTCGATGTAGACTTCTATTTTTTACCAAGTTGGTTTTTGAACATCTTGGTGACCAATCTCTGATACGTCGCCCCTGCATTCTTTAGTCCGAACGGCATGACCTTATAGCAGTACGTTCCTTGGTGAGTGATGAAAGTGGTTTTCTCCTGGTCTTCTTCTTCCATGAGGATCTGGTTGTAACCCGAGTAGGCATCTAAGAAGTTTAGAAACTCGTGTCCTGCTGTCGTGTCGATGAGCTAGTTGATGTGTGGCAGTGGAAAGGAGTCTTTTGGACATGCCTTGTTTAGGTCCGTGAAATCTACACACATCCGCCACTTTCTATTTTTCTTTTTCATCATGACCACATTGGTGACCTACTGAGGGTATTTTGACTTTCAGACAGAGCCATTTGTGAGCAGTTTATCGACTTCTTCGCTGACGACTTCATTGATCGCGGCATTGAACTTCCTTCTTATTTGTCGTACTGGCGCATATAGGGGGTCGACATTTAGCTTGTGTGTGGCGATATCCTTTGGGATACTTGGCATATCTACATGGGAGAAGGCAAATAGATCAGCATGGTCAGTTAAGAATTTACGACACTTACCTAGTTCCGAGAGGTTGTGCCCGATATAATCCTTTTTTGTGATGTCATTTCCGTCTAGTAGGACGGGATCAAGATTTTCTATCATTGATTCGGACACTTCCACGATGTCGGGGTCCTTGATAACGTCTGTCTGTACGTCAAGTTTGGCTCCCGACATCACTGATTGTTATGCTTCCACATTTGCCCCTTTTAGTTGTTGGGTATGGGCGCAATCTTGGGCAATGCGATAGCATTCTTGTGCGGTGTGTTGCTCGCCTCGAATACTGAATACTCACCATGGGGTAGGAAACTTGATCACTTGATAGAGACTGGAAGGGACCGCTCGCATGGCGTGTATCCACGGACGCCCTGTGATGGTGTTGTAGGTTGTTTCTTAGTTTATGACATGAAACGTCGTTTCCATGGTGACTCCTCCGGCTAGGAGGGATAGAACTATCTCTCCAGAAGTCCGTTCAACTGCATTATTAAAACCTGTTAGCGTTATGCAGCGCGGTATTATTTTGTCTTCGAGTCTCGTCTGTACGAGGACTCAAGGATGGATAATACACGCGACGCTCCCGTCATCTACCATTATTCTTTTTACATTAGTATTTGCAATACGTAAAGTGATAACAAGAGCATCATAGTGAGGTAAAGACAAACCGTCGGCATCTAACTTATCGAAGATGATACGGCCTTCGAGGTCATCAAACCGTTCATAGGTGATTGATCGTTTGAGTTTATGTGTGGTGGTGAACTTGACATGATTGATTGTTATGCCATCGCCCCCACCGATGATCATCTGTATAGTGCGAGCAGGAGAAGGCGGTTTTGGAGTTCCCTGGAGCTGTTCGCGTCTGGGGGCGAAGTTAGCTCGTCCTCGATCGCTCAGCAACTCTTTCAGGTGTCCCTGGCTTAGCATTCACACTACCTTATCTCGCAGTCCTATGCAATCTTTGATTTTGTGACCCCTTTCTTGGTGAAATTCGTAGAAAGCATTCGACTTCCGAGTGCTGGGGTCTGACCTCATCTTTTGCGGCCATTGCACCTTTGTACCGAGTTCTCTAGTTCGTATACTATTTCTGAAGGAGAAACACAAAAATTATGAGTAGATAAAAGTGGAGTCATACCTTTCTCATGTCGATATGGTGTTGTATGTCGAGAAGGGGCATCCGTGTGCAGCGGTGGAGGCGGCACAGACGTCCTGACGTAAGGCTGATACCTTTCTCGGCCGAGACGGGGCCCAGACTGATCTCTTCAACCGTCGTTGCGATGATCTTTCCTTGCTTCAGTTTGAAATGACGTCAACTCTTGGGTCGGACCATTGAGGTCGTCCTCGTCGGCTCGTACCTCAGCACAGTAGGCGTTATGGATTTCTTCCCAAGTAGTTGGAGGGTATTTCATGAGCCTTCTTAGCAATTTTTTGGTCGCTCTCGACCCGTTCCTATTTAGTCCATTCTGGAAGGCTGCTACTGCCATTCCCTCTGACACATTCGGCAAGCTCATTCTCACCCTCTTGAAACGAGCCAAGAAGTCTATGAGTCCCTCGTCGTGCATCTGTCTTACGGCAAATATATCGTTTACCCTAGCTTCTGCCTTTTTGGCTCATGCATGGGCGGTGACAAATTTGTCTGCCATTTCTAATCGGGTCCAACCCTACACCATTATAGAGTGGCAAGAGCGATCGATGTAGCTTTTATCCAAGAAGGTCGGGATCGAATCCACAGTGAGCTAGAATGATTGGTACTTGGATTCCTATCTAAGTTAGTAGTGTGTAGTACTTTTAATTACACTTCCAATCATATTTGTTTGTTTGTTACTTCTAAGTTTATGCTAATGATATGCAAAATTAAACTAAGTATGAATGTTTGTAAGGTTTTCTAAATGGTTAAAGAGGCACTAGGGAAGTGGCTTTCTCCTAGGTGAATACTTGACGGGTTCTAAAGCCTAAGGCAAAGTTATTATGTTGGGGATTGCGATATAGCCAATACACGAAAGTACTCACTCTATACCTCTCGGTAGCTTGAGTGACTTTGCCCTAATTGACTTTTTCAAGACCAATTGGTTGTCAAAATTGTGCTAGCAATATAGGCTCAAGTTGGGTATTACTATCTCTAGGTTTAACTCTTTAATTGGGGCTATCAATCTCTTGAATACACCCTAATTCCTTGTTGGACTGATTTTCCTAGACTCAAGCTCTCTTTCTCAAGAAGAGCCCAAGTCCAAAAAGGCACAAATTAGTGTTTGCAACCGCTAATTCAACATGGAAAACATAAATCAGTTCAAATATTAACCACCCATAAACATTTAAGCCTTAAAACAAAAGACCCATCAAATACTCACACTACAGTTGAGCCACAACCCTAGCTAATGGGTCTAGCTACTCATAATAATGAAAGAAATCAGATATTTAGATGAAGAATAACCCATAAAATATGATTACAAGCTAAGATTAGAAGATACAATGTTAAACTAGCTACCAAATTACTGAAAATAGCTTAAAATCGTCGTTCACGTGCTCTACTAAGATAAAGATACCCTAAAATATGAAAAAGAAGTATTTATACAAGGCAGAATTTTTTGGACAAAAATACCCCTGACGGAGGTACCGCGGTCCGCAAGAAATGGGTTGCGGCCATGGTGAAGCTTTTAGCTTCAATTCTCTGAATCTGGCCACCGCGGTCCGCATAAAATGGACCGCGGCCACGGTGGCTTCACCGCGGACCGCATAAAGTGGATCGCGGACAGCGGTGTCTTGAAACTTCCAAAATCCCAACTCTCTAAATCCCCTCTCTGTGGACCGCATAAAATGGATCGCGGCCACAATGAGGTTATCGTGGACCGCAGTGCTTAGAACCCCAGAATTGCATCTTTCTGAACTTATCCACCGCGGAATACACAAAATAGACCGCGGCCGCGGTGGGTCTTTTGCAGCTGCAGTAGATTTTATACTACAGCGGTGCTTTGACTTGTTCTTGGCACTTGTGCAGGTTTCACTCCTTTTTGAGCTGGTTTTGACTTCTTGTCACTTTTTTGACCAAACACTGCAAACAAGCACAACATTTAAGCTTTCGAGACTACTTGTATATATTTTAAATCCAAAACTCAAGCAAAAAGGAGTATAAAATAGATTAGAATCCCTAGTTATCAACTCCCCCAAACTTAAGCTTTTGCTTGTCCTCAAGCAAACAAAATAAGTCTCACCTCCTTAAGAATGAAACCAAGAAAATTTAGCTGACCTAAAGTGACCTCATATAGCATCAATTGGGACTAACAATTGCCCTCAATTCAAATAAATCATTAACAACATTCAACCTTTTAAGCTCCATGGTTTTAGTGCGACATAAAAGCATCAAGAATTGACTCAACTCATCAAGGAAACTCTTTCTACTACTTTGGTCATTGTGGAACCCAAACTCATACTCCTAACTCTTCCTTAAGCAAGACCTCACTTTTAGATTGTAGCACTCAGAACGATGATTGTGGAAAACACACTCGTCCCTCTCAAAGAAAGGTCACAAGTCCGGCTCTAAGTACCATAAGCTTGTCCCTTATGTGAGTCATCACTAATGTAAGTTTCATTAAACTCAAGATCATATAGGGGTTTTTTGGGGATACAATGAAGGCTTTTGGTTCAAGGTAGGAAATATTTGATCTAAGTAGGTTTCATCTTCCTTTAAGCACTTCATTTGCTTCATTTTGGCACACATTCTCTTGACTTTTTGAGTCATTCACTTTTTTTGGGGGTTAGAGAGACACACTATCACCCTTTCTTGTTCATTTCAAACCTTTTTCTCCTTTCTAAACTTTCCACACCTTTCATCTATTTACTTTTATTGAATCCCTTCATTTCTTCTATATTGCTCATTCTTTTTGACTTTTTCATTTTTCTTTCTTTTTCTTTTCTGCTTTTCCTTTTCTTCATTTTTATACCTTTTACCACTTTGTTGCATTCCTCGTCTCTCCCCCTAAACCTATACTTTTGCTTTGTGCTAAGGAAAGATCTGGTGCCAAGAGAGGGGCTTTTTAGAACGGGTAAAGGCTTGTATCATGGTCTTTGAAGAAAAAAGAGCTATGGCTCAAAAGGGGTTGACTAGGGATATTATCATTGGTAGGCTATGGATGTTTTCAAGATATCATTCGGATCAAGGAGAGCGTATAATCACCTCTCAAGTCAAGCTATAGGATTGTTAAAGAGATACAGTCGGGGGCCTACAACAACCTTAGCTAAGATTTGAGCAATACAAATGGTCCCGAAAAATCACTTGATGATTATCGGCCAACACAAGAGTCTCAAGGTCACAACTGTCACCATCCTATACACACCAATTTGTTTTTGACCATAAGATCAAAGGCAAATGTGTTAGGCCCAAGTGAAGCTTTGCTTGAGTCACTATTGCTCATTAGCTACTATTTACACAAAAATAAAAAAAACAGATTCAAACCCTTAAGAAGGTTGTCATGTCATCCATCATCGGGAAGGGCCACCCGGTTTACACAAATTCTACATTTGGAAAGAACCGTGGCATTAAGAAAACCAATGACTTATTGAACGCAAAACTCAAAATAAGAAGCTACGAAAATGAAGTAGGAAGCTATGAAAGAAAATGCAGAAAGTAAATTGAATATGTATAATAGGGGATTTAAACGAATATACATAAGAGGGAATAAATATATACATCAGAAAGTAACTTTATATACAGACCAAGGTTGCAAAGTACAAAAAGTGAAATAAACTGGTAAAATTATATACATACCAAAAGTTGAAAAAGCATAATAAAAATGAAAATAGTATCATATTTGTAATCCAACATCATCAAAATAGGGCTACCCCCTCAAATGAAAGTTAGCATTGTCCTCAATGCTAACTAGACAAAAATAGCTCAAGAAAAAGATAGAGAGTAAAGAGAAACTCCCCATTGGTCCTCCGTCTGCATGAGATCATGAGCCTGGCTCCTTGGGTCCTATGACTGCTCGGGAACCTATGACTGGATCCCGGTATCCTGTGCCTGCACTGGGACCTGAGGCTGCTGAGCTGCTCTGGGGCCTGAGGCTGGCTCGAGGAACCTCCCTGCGGGTCCTCCAACTCTATCACTGCATCATCCGTCTGTGGGATCACTCTCCTCCTTTTTGGTGCCCTCTCCATCTCCTGCTCCTGCTCCTGCTCCAACTCAGTCTGAGTTGCTAGAGGATGCTCATGCAATAGTATGTCCAATGATAGACGATCAGCAACCTTAATCTTCTCCACTTCTACCCTCAACTCCTTCACAGACTCCTTTAAAGCTCGAGTCTTTTTCAGCTTCTTTGTCTCCTTTTTCATCTCCTTCAATGCCTTCCTATGAGTACCTACAGCCTTCAATATCAACTACTGGTTCTCCAAGAGCTTCTTCTGGTTGTCCAGAATCTCCTTGAGAGTCTCCTCCACTGAAGCTGGAACCTGTGGTTGTGGTGGTACGGACTGGGCTGCCACCGAGCTAGAAAGCACAAACAGCTTAGAAGTAGCTGTCTGCATCCAGTTGTTGATACTGGCAAGGGTTTGGCTCAAACGGTGGGCAGTCAATGGGTAAATTGAGGATGAGGGGATATCTGGAGCAGTGGCAGTAGAGGGTCCTGGGGCAATATCTGGTGTGGCTGAGGGAGGCTGAGAAGAAGTGACTACTACTACTGGCTTTTCAGACTGGCCAGTAGAAGTAGTGGCTTTACCTTTAGGATCTTTAGGGTTGTCATCACCTTTGAGGTTGTACCAGGAAAAGGGCATCTTTGGTTTTACCTTCATATCAAACTTCCTTTTCTCCACATCCTAGTCCTCAAAGTACATTGTCAGGAAATTTGGGAAGGGGTAGGATCTTTCACCTATATTTACCACCTTTGTGATCACCCCAGACATAACATTCCCGATGTTGATCGGGTACCCCACCATGATAGAAGCCATTAATATTGCACGGGAGACAGGAAGAGAGTTATCATGAGTAGTGGGGTCCAGCCTACTGCATACGAAAGTCTCCCACCCATTTGCCTTGAAGTTTAAAGTTCTCCTCAAAATTGGGACTCCTTATGTCAATCATTTGGGGTGGTACCCGGGAGTGCCAGGAATTCTGCTAACCACGGACGGGCTGCCTCATCCAATGCTACCTTTTCCAAGTATAATGATTCATCTTCCTCCGGAAAGCCCAAGTAGTCATTAATTGTCTTCCCATCGAACTTCACTGTTAAATTTCGCATCTTAGTTACTTTAGTGCCCTTTTTTATGTGGGCGACATTAGCGTAGAACTCTCTGACTAAGTGTCCGTTTGCATCCCAAACTTTTCTTGTAAAATATTTCCAGCACAGTCTCTCTCTGAATTGTCTCTTCACATTAGGGTTGTGAGGAAGAAGGTCCCCTCTCAATGAATTTTCGCTCAAGAATCAATTTCCTCTCGGGCCACCACTCTTGGAACTTGTGGTAAGCAATCTCACTAACAAATCTTCTTTTCCACACCTCGGGGTTTCTAGTTCTCTCCACACCCCCGGGTTGGGGCACACCACCTCCCTCTTCATCTGGTACCTCATCATCCATG